AATGCTATCTCTTTCCACATATGCTTTCTCCTTTTAATAATGATAAATTTACATTGTCAACAATGTAACTCATTACATTCCCATTTATTTTGCTCTGGTTGCCAGGAAGCTCAGAACAAAATGTAATGGTTATATGTAGCATTTGACATTCTAGTTAGTACAAATGCATTTTCCCTTTATCTGGGTTTTATATTTATATCTTATATTAGTTTTTTTTTTGTTGTTGTTATTGTTTGTATGCCCATCGTCTTAGTCTGTTTTGTGTTGCTGTAACAGAATACTTGAGACTGGGTAATTTATAAAGAAAAGAAGTTTATTTAGCTCATGGTTATGCAGGATAAAAAGTTTAAGGGCATGGCCCTGGCTTCTGGTGAGTTCTTTTGTGCTGTGTCATAACAAGGTGAAGAAGGTCAAAGGGGAAGTGAAAATATAGAAAGAGAGAGAACCCGAGGAGCATCCTGGCTTTTTAACAACCCACTCACAAGGGAACAAATCCATTCCCTAAAGAGCTAATCCAGTCTTGCTACAGCAAGAACTCACTTATTGTCAGGGGAACAGCACCAAGCCATTTGTAACAGATGTACCCCCATGGCCCAAACACCTCCCAGCAGGCCCCACCTCCTAATACCACCCTTCTGATGATCAAATTCCAAAATGAGTTTTGGTAGAGACAAAAAAAAAAAAAAAAAAAAAATCCAAACCATAGTACCAATAGCGTCAAATTTACTTTTGAGGGTCAAGATACTATATAGACATATAATACCTTCCCTGAACAATCCTCTTTTTTTGCTTGGGAAAGATGTGTTACATTCCTTAGGGACCTACTCTTAGAGTCTCTAGAGCATCCTTGAAATATTTCATAGTGTAAGTCCCATTCTAACTCTTTGAATACTTACAATGTACATGGCATGCCACTAGATGCTATAAGTCATGCACAAACCAAAACAAACAAAAACATAGCCCCTTTCCTCAGTTCTGCTGCTTTATTGCTGGGGCACAATCTTCTACAAAGTAGTAGGTATTTAAGGACAATTGAGAAGTTGAAACAAACTACAGGAGGCTAGGAAATGTACCAATTGAGTAATGAGGGAAGGCTTTGTGGAGAGGATTTCTCTTGATCTGGGATTCAAACTGTGTATAGATTTGAGTACATGAAGCACACAAATGAGGGCAATGGTAAACTGGTTTCCCCTTACTTCTGCAAAGCCCTGATTTGCACTGTTTGCCAGTTTTCATGGTGTAAATACTTCTGCTATGGCCAATTTGAAGCTATCAGTAATTTAACAATGTTCATGCAAAGTTCCTGAATATTTAAAAATTAGCTCTCATGAGCCTGTTTGAGCTGGGTTTAGCATACCACTGGATGAAGTCTTTATAAGAATGTGATACTATGAGCAAGAGTTCAGATTTATGAGGTCCCTCTAAGGAACAGAAAACAGTCCTGACTGTCTGCATCTGGAGGTTCATATTGGGAAATGATGGCAAGATGTAAGAGTTAATTTGGGATAGAATTTGGAGGTTTTTGCTGTGCATTTGGGGTTTATTCTTTAGGATGTGGGAAGGTCTTAAGTACTTTTTAATAGAGGAATGACAGGATAGAATTAATGTTTTAGGAAGATTGGCCTTTTATTAGTTATATGCTGGGTGGTTTTAAGGGAGTAGAGGGGAGCGGAGATGAGACTGAGGAGCTTCTTGAAATGCAGTATGTATGAAGTAATAAGGGACCAGAGTTAGGACAGAAGTAGCCAGCATGGGAAGGGAAGACAGGAGGAAGGGAGGACAGTGGGGACAGTGCATCTCTGCTAGTATGGCATCAGCTGACTTGGCTTACAAGCTCTGACTGGAATCAACTGAGGGTTAACTTACATGTTTGGGGATTGATATTGGATGTTACTAGAACCTTCAGTGAGGCTGTGGAGAGAACACTCATACATATTCTTTACATGTGGCTGCTTGGTTTTATTACCACATGCTGGCTGGATTCTAAAAGTGAGAGTCCAAGGGAGATAGACAGATGAAAACCACATTGCCTTGTACAATCTGGCCTTGAGAATCATGTGATGTCTTTTTTACTACATTCTATTTGTTGAACCAGTCACAAAAGCACAGCTAGTTTTAAGGGTAGGAGAAATAAGACCTCCACCTCTTGAAGGGAGATAACAAGGCTATAAAAGACCACGTAAGAGTGATACACAGGAGTTTTTTAATAACAGCTTGCTAATATTATCATTATCTGAGTTTAAGTGTCTGTAGGTAAACTGATTCCCTCTGAAATACAGTGAATATTTTTAGTAAATGCCTGGTATGTATTCAGTAACAACCTTGCAATGGTGGTTGTGTAGCTCTTATTAAGTGAATGGTATGATTACTATTTGGTTCTATTACACAAGATGACAGATAATTTCCTTCTCTAAGAAGGGGGAACAAGATCTTACATGTATGATGAGGTTGCTTTTATATTAATTAACTGGGACAAAGTAACATAATAATTGCAAACTCTTATTGACAGCTTCTCATGTACTAAACTCAGTAAATCATTTTTATCCATGATCTTGTATAATCCTCACAAATAAACCTGAGGTAAGTATTATTCACCCCATTTATGAAGGATAAAATTGAAGTTCAGAGAAGTGATGTAATTTGCCTGAGGTCACATTGTTAAGTAATGAAACCTGAATTCAGTTCTAGAACTTTGCTCTTCCTCCTCTTCATGAGATGTATTATATTACCTCTTCATGAGCTAGAATGTGTCACCTCTTCATGAGGTGATATGGTTTGACTGTGTCCCCACCCAAATCTCAACTTGAATTGTATCTCCCAGAATTCCGACGTGTTGTGGGAGGGACCCAGTGGGAGGTAAATGAATCATGGGGGCTGGTCTTTCCCATGATATTCTCATGACAGGGAGTGAATCTCATGAGATCTGATGGATTTATCAAGGTTTCCACTTTTGCTCCTTCCTCATTCTCCCTTGCAGCTGCCATGCAAGAAGTACTTTTCACCCTCTGCCATGATTGTGAGACCTCCCCAGGCATGTGGAACTCTAAGTCAAATTAAACCTCCTTTTCTTCTCAGTCTCAGGTATGTCTTTAGCAACAGTGTGAAAATGAACTAATACAGTAAATTTGTACCAGTAGAGTGGGGCACTGCTGAAAAGTTACCCAAAAATGTGGACGTGACTTTGGAACTGGGTAACAGGCAGAGGTTGGAACATTGTGAAGAGCTCAGAAAAAGACAAGAAAATGTGGGAAAGTTTGGAACTTCCTAGAGAATTGTTGAATGGCTTTGCCCAAAATGCTGAGAGCAATATGCACAGTAAAGTCCAGGCTGAGGTGGTCTCCAATGGAAAAGAACTAGTTGGGAACTGGAGTAAAGGCGACTCTTGCTATGTTTTAGCAAAGAAACTGGTGACATTTTGCCCTGCTCTAGAGATTCATGAAACTTTAAACTTGAGAGAGATGATTTAGGGTATCTGGTGGAAGAAATTTGTAAGCAGCTAAGCATTCAAGAGGTGACTTGCATGCTGTTAAAGGCATTCCATTTTATAAAGGAAGGAGAGCATAAAAGTTTGGAAAATTTGCAGCCTGTCAATGCAATGAAAAAGAGCATCCTATTTTCTGAGGAGAAATTTAAGTCAGCTGCACACATTTGCATAAGTAACGGGAAGCCGAATGTATTCCCAAGACAATGGGGAAAGTGTCTCCAGGGCATGTCAGAAGTCTTCACAGCAGCCCCTCTCATCATAGGCCCGGAGGCAAAAATGGTTTCATGGGCCTGACCCAGTGTCCTGGTGCTATGTGCAGCCTAGGGAGTTGGTATCCTGTATCCCAGCTGCTATAGCTATGACTAAATGGGGGCAAGGTACAGCTTAGGCTGTGGCTTCAGAGGGTGCAAGCCCCAAGTGTTGGCAGCTTCCGTGTGGCATTGAGCCCATGGGTACACAGAAGTCAAGAATTGAGGTTTGGGAACCTTTGCCTAAATTTCAGAAGATATATGGAAACACCTGAATGTCCAGGGAGAAGTTTGCTACAGGGGCAAAGCTCTCACGGAGAACCTCTGCTAGGGCAGTGTGGAAGGGAAATGTGGGGTCAGAGCCCCTGCACAGAGTCCCTACTGGGGCACCAGTTAGTGGAGATGTGAGAAGAGGGCCACTGTCTTTCAGACCCCAGAATGGTAGATCCACCGACAGCTTGCACTGTGTGCCTGGAAAAGCCGCAGACACTCCATGCCAGCCTGTGAGAGAAGCTGGGAGACAAGGCTGTACCCTGCAAAGTCACAGGGGCAGAGCAGCCCAAGACCATGGGAACCCACTTCTTGCATCAGAGTGACCTGAATGTGAGACATATAGTCAAAGGAGATAATTTTGGAGCTTTAAGATTTGGCTGCCCCGCCAAATTTCAGACTTGCATAGGGCCTATTGGCCCCTTTGTTTTGGCCAATTTCTCCCATTTGGAATGGCTGTATTTACCTAATGCCTGTACCCCAACTGTATCCAGAAGTAACTAACTTGCTCTTGATTTTACACGCTCATAGGCGGAAGGGACTTGCCTTGTCTCGGATGAGACTTCGGACAGTGGACTTTTGAATTAATGCTGAAATGAGTTCGGACTTTAGGAGACTGTTGGGAAGGCATGATTTGTTTTGAAATGTGAGGACATGAAATTTGAGAGGGGCCAGGGGTGGAATGATATGGTTTGGCTGTGTCCCCACCCAAATCTCAACTTGAATTGTATCTCCCAGAATTCCCACATGTTGTGGAAGGGACCCAGTGGGAGGTAGTTGAATCATGGGGGCCGGAAGGGACCCAGTGGGAGGAAGTTGAATCATGGGGGCCGGTCTTTCCTGTGCTATTCTTGTGATAGTGAATAAGTCTCATGAGATCTGACGGGTTTATCAGGTTTTCCACTTTTGCTCCTTCCTCATTCTTTCTTGCAGCTGCCATGTAAGAAGTGCCTTTCGCCTTCTGCCATGATTGTGAGACCTCCCCAGCCATGTGGAACTCTAAGTCAAATTCACTCTCCTTTTCTTCTCAGTCTTGGGTATGTCTTTATCAGCAGCACAAAAATGGACGAATACACGAGGTACACAGTATCACTCCTCTATGAAGTAGGGAACTGGAATAGAAATAGGGCCTTAATATTGGCTGCAAAGAAGTAAGTGTCTAAGAGTGGGGTTGCTAATGTTGCACATGAAATGATACCTACTATGTGGAGGTGGACAGGGATTCAGAAAGTGATTGATTTAGGCAAGTACCCTGCAAGCTTTGCATTCTTTTGGATTAAAACTAGGTTTCAAGTAAGAATATGGAATGAAGTCAGGCCAGAAAACCTTGAAAACGTGCTTGTAGAAGAGTATAGCCATCTTCACACGTCTGTTTTAACACTAACAATATTAGATAATAAAACTCTACTAATATATCTGCTTCTCCCAGTGGGCTCTGTGCTCTTGGCAAAGTGTAGTATGTAGTAGATTGTCAATATATGCCTATAAAACTAAAGAGAAAGGAGTTGCACTTCATCCCTCTTTGACTCTAAGTTCATTTCCATTTTGTTTTCCAAATGTTAAGTTTCTTCAAATTTTAGCATCTATTAATATTTCTAAGTGGAACCAAAATATGGGGTCTCTAGAGCTCTTTTTTGCTTCTTAGTCCAGTGCATAAAAGTGGAAGAAGCACATTCTTATATGCCTGTTTCCTGGTTGTAATAATCCTGATGGGAAAAGGAAGATGGATCACAGGGCAATGGCAGCAATACTCTGTTATAGTCTCTAGAGAAAGTCATAATCCTTGCCTATAATGCTGTATAGATATCATTCTGCAATATGAGTTTGGAAAGAAGATTTCATTAATTCATCAGAACAGTTAGAAAACTGCTAGAAATTTTACGACCTCATATTCTTTAAAGTAACCAGTTTAATGTATTGTTGTGACTTTTATTTGTTCTCCCCTTTGACATTTATGTGATGAGCACCTTTGGTGATGGCTGAAATTATACATAGACTAAGAGGACTCAGGCATAACAAAGATGCCTTTTAATTTTCCTGGAGATTAATCTCTCCCTCTTAAATCTACAAAAGTAAACTTTTTCTTGGTTTGATTTTGCACTCCAATATTTTTTCCAAGCTATAATTAGAGATGAAAATTAAGATAGCAAGGAAAAAAAAAAAAGACTCTGATTTATTACTTTTGACAGGGAAAGTATTTTTCCCAGGCTGTTTCTGAATTCCTTTCTTTAGAGGAAATGGCAGGGGAAAGTGACTATTTGTCAACTAGTAGCAGCTGCCAAGAGAATAATTATATTTGGGAAAATATTTGAGATTAAAGCACATTAGAAAAGATGCATCTCATCAAATCAAGGTATTGTTCAAATCAACCTGTTTTCAATGTTAAATCTGTATGTTTTAAAGCTTAGAGTTTTAATAACTTATGCTCCTTGTAGATCGATGACATAACCTCTACAAACCAGAATTTCACCTAAAGATGGCACCCTCCTTTGGAAAAACACAGGGGCTGGTATTTTAATGAGCATTTACAAGCCAAGTGCCTGATGAACTATGTGTTTGTGCCACTTTTTAAATTGTCACAAGTCGTTGAGGAGGTGTTGTTATACCTATTTTGTAGAGGAAAAACTCAGACTGAAATTCACTACCTTGTCCAGGGAGCTGTAAAACATAAATAGAAGAGCTATAAATGGGATTCAGATTATCCTAAACCAATGACTCTCAAACTTTTTGTTTCTTTTTTTTTTTTTTTTTTAAACCCAAGAGAGTGCAATGGCCACATGCCCACTTTTCTTTCCCTGCCCAGTTGTGAAATGTTGCTTGTTATTTCTACCAACTTAAAATATTATTTCTGGCTTTCTTTCTTTCTTTATTTTTAAATCAGAAAGCCAATATGTTTCTTAAAAAATTTCAATGTTGAAAAATATATTTTAACCATATTTTATTGATCCGTGATGCCATTGATTGAAAGACATACCATTGGATTATGTATGTTCTACTAAGGAAAATAAATACTATCAACAAAACTATGACATAATGCCTTAAAAATAGTCCTGCATGATGCATGAATCAGTCACCTCACCACTCATTGCCTTTCTTCAATTCCAAGAGATTTAGCAATTTCTTTTGTTTTTAGTTCCTCTGCATGGCAGGTGATAGGCAATCCCTTTTGTATGCATTTAATAACAAAACCTAACACAGCTTCATCTACTTCTGGATATTTTTTTCTTAGGTTCTGTAAAACACATGGTTATTGTTTTGTAAGGAAATAAGGAGCTCTAGTCATTCCTGAAATGATGAATATTTGCCTCACTAAAAGTAAATGCATTCCCCACTGCTCTATTTCTGTATATTTTTGCGTATATAATGACTTCTGCCTCAATGCCAAATCATGGTGCAATCTTTTAGAAGACACTTTAAATGGCAATTAAACTCAACACTTGTAGCACCAAGAATATTCAAAACTCAATGGAAGTGACGACAATGTGAATATTTATACTGAAAGCAATGACAACCACATCAAAACTGCCACCTGGCCAGCAGTGATTATAATATGTCATTAAATCTAAGACTCTTCCTAATTTCAGAGGTATTAAAATGTGAAAAACTATACTTCTTAGAATCAATGAAATAAGTAAATATTAAATATGCTTTTTGACGGCCTCTCTTTTCTGCATTTCAGATTCGGATCGGGTCCCAGCTCTTCTATTCTTGAAGCACCCCTGCCCCCTATACCTCTCATCCTGCAGAGAAATACTGCTGTACGCCATGCCTCTTTCCAGCAAGACAGGTTTCTTCATCTGCTCTAGGCTGCATTTTAGCATTTACCCCAAAGCCTATTATAAATGGACAGAAAATTAAATTTTTCTTTTTCCTCTTAGGGAGAGAAAACCTAACTAAATTTCCAACTTATGACAGTGTATGTTCCATGTTTTCATTGTATCATGGTCATGTGTAGCCCTTTGCTGATAGACAGGGTGAGCGTAAAGGGATTTAATTTTCACTGGTTGATTGAACTCATCACTAAACTTTTTAAACAACTTGATAGTTTGTATATAAGAATTATTTTCTGTAAGTTGTCTGTTTAGTCTGTTGATAGTTTGTTTTGCTGTGTAGAGGCTCTTAAGTTTAATTAGATCCCACTTAACAATTTTTCCTTTTTTTGTGTGATTGCATTTGGTGTCTTCATCATGAAATCTTTGCCCATTCCTATGTCCAGAATCATCTTGTCTAGGTTGTCTTCCAGGGTTTTTGTAGATTTGGATTTTACATTTAAGTTTTTAATCCATCTTGAGTTGATTTTTGTATATGGGGTAAGGAAGGGACCTAGCTTCAGTTTTCTGTATATGGCTAGCCAGTTATTCCAACACCACTTATTATATAGGGAGTTTTCCCTATTGCTTGCTCTTGTTAGCTTTGTCAAAGATTAGGTGGTCATAGATGTACAGCCTTATTTCTGGGCTCTCTATTTGGTTCCATTGGGTGGTCCATTTATCTGTTTTTGTGTCACTACCATGCTGTTTTGTTTACTGTAGCCCTATAGTATAGTTTGAAGTTAGGCAATGTGGTACCTACAGCTTTGTACTCTGCTTAGTATTGTCTTGGCTGTTCAGGTTCTTTATCGGTTCAATAGGAATTTTAAAATAGTTCTTTTTCTAGTTCTGTGAAGAATGTCATTGGTACTTTGATAGGAATAGCATTGAATCTGTAAATTGCTTTGGACAGTATGGCCCTTTCAATAATATTGACTCTTCCTATCAATGGGCATGGGATGTTTTTCCAATTGTTTGTGCCTTCTCTGATTTCTTTGAGAAGTGTTTTTGCAATTCTCGTTGTAGAGATCTTTCACCTCCCTGGTTAGCTGTATTCCTAGGTATTTTATTCTTTTTTTGGCAAATGTGAATGAGATTGCCTTTCTAGTTTAGCTTTTGGCTTGGCTGTTGTTGGTGCATAAGAATGCTAGTACTTTTTGTACATTGATTCTGTATCCAAATATTTGCAAACCATGCATCTGACAAAGGTCTAATATCCAGCATCTATAATGAACTTAAACAAATTAACAAGAAAACAACAACTCCATTAAAAAGTGGGCAAAGAGCATGTACAGATACTTTTCCAAAGAAGACATATATGCAGTCAACAAGCATATGAAAGAAAGCTCAATATCAGTGATCATTAGAGAAATGCAAATAAAAAGCACAGTAAGAAACCATCTCACACCAGTCAGAATGAACATTATTAAAAAGTCAAAAAATAACAGATGCTGGTGATATTGCAGAGGAAATGGAACACTTACACACTGTTGGTGTTGAGTGTAATTTAGTTCAACAATTGCAGAAAGCAGTATGGCAATTCTTCAAAGAGTTAGAAGCAGAACTACCATTCGATCCAGCAATCCCATTACTGGACATATACCTAGAGGAATATAAATCATTTAACCTTAAAGAGGAACGCACATGAATACTCATTACAGCAGTAGTCACAATAGCAAAGACATAGAACCCACATAAATGTCCAACAATGACAGATTTGATAAAGCAAATGTGGTACGTGTGTACACCATGGAATATATGCAGCCATGAAAAGAATGAGATCATGTCTTTTGCAGGAACATAGATGGAGCTGGAGCATAGATAATAGTTGAGGAAAGGAAAACCAAATACCACATGTTCTCACTTACAAGTGGGAGCTAAATGATAAGAACTTATGAACACAAAGAAAGAAATAACAGACACTGGGGTCTACTTGAGGGTAGAGGGTGGGAGGAGGAGAGGAGCAGAAAAGATAACTATTGGATACTGGGCTTAATTCCTGGGTGATAAGATAATCTGTACAACAAGTCCCTGTGACAGAAGTTTACTTATGTAACAGAGCTTCACATGTACTTCTGAACCTAAAAGAAAAGTTACAAAAGAATTATTTTCTGTTATTAAACATGTCATTTGGAAACATTTTCATATATAACTTTGAATACTTTGTTGTGCCCTGAGGAAAGTATGCAGTAGCTGATTTTTGACTTTTATTGAAAATTTATTTTTTTCTCCATTCTTCACAGTTTTGCCATTGAAATGTAATAATACCTGCATACTCTACCAATCCAAACAATATATAGTCAAAAGTGAAATTGATAGTCTCTCACTTTCTCTTTCTAATCCCATTTTCTAATGTAACTACTGTCAACTATGATTTCCTTTGCTAATAGAAACAAATGCCACACACACATTCGCACATATATACATATATATACACACACACACATATATGTATATATATGCACACCCACTGAAGATTAAAAACCAAACAAACATTAGGACCTAACATGGAGCTGCTATTCTTCCCTAATGGTCTGTTATGGACCTATTTTGAAGTCAATGCATAATGATCCACATTTTTTAATAGCTGCTTATTGTTTCATAGAATTGATATATCATGGTTTAGGAAACCATTTCCCTATATATGGATACCTAAGTTTATTCCAGGTGCTGTAACAAAATATCATAAGCTGGGTATCTTATAAATAACAGAAACTTATTTCTCAGTTATGGGTCTGAGAATTCCAAGATTAAGGTGGCAGCAGGTTTGATGTCTGGTGAGGGCTTGTTCCTCATAGACAGTGTCTTCTTGCGGTATCCTCACATGGCAGAAGGGGCAGACAAACTCCTCCTCTTTTATGAGGGCACAAATCCCGTTCATTCTCTAAAGGCCCCATCTCTTACTACTATTGCACTGAGGATTAAGATTCAACATATAAATTTTGAGGGAACATAAATATACAGACCATGGCAATGGATGGATAGTTTAGTTATTTACAGATATTGTTATTATAAACCTTTAGATATGTTTTTGGGTAAGACTTTTGACAGTATCAAACACTGCTGATTTTTCTTTTTTCTTTCCCCCTGACAGAATCCTAAAAACGAAGATACTCAGTGAGGGTGTATGCATACTGTAAATTTAATATTGCTAGTTTTATTTTCCAAAATATTATAAAAATGTACATTCATCAATAATAAATGAGACTGCCATTTTCTGTAGGTTTTCATTAGCACTGAATGTTCTCAGACTTTTACGTGGTCATGCAATAGGCAAAAAAATCATTGTGTTGTTTTAATTTGCATTTTTATGTTTACTGATTATGGTATATTTTCATTTTTTATTGATCATTTGCTTTCATCTTTTGTGAACTGCCGGCTCTTATCTTTGACTCACCTTAGACTGTCTTTTTCTTATTGATGTGAAAGAACTCTTTATATATTTAGAAATAATACACAATGAGTGCTTACTCTTTAACCTGACTCTGACTCTCAGTACTTTATAAGAATGAACACGTTTAATTAATCCTCACAACAGCCTTATGAAGTAGATACAAATTTATAGGTAAGGAAACTAAGGCAGAGAAAGGTTAAATAATATGCTCAAGATCACACTGCTAGTAAGTGGCAGAGCTGGTGTTCAAACTGAGGCCATCAGGATGTAAACCCACATCCTAACTCCTGCACTGTGTTCTGCTCAGCTGGAAGGGAAGATTGGCAAGTGTGCTGAGAACAAAGAGACATACCATCGCTGGGTGCAGAGGAGCCATGGCAGGCGTATTTCAGAGCATATTGGAAGACAAATATTTGTGTCTAAAGTCTGATAAGAATGATACTTCTCTTTAAAAAAAATACAAAATATACCATTTCAAAGTGGATTCTTGACACTGTAGACTGTTGTTGAAAGTGAATTGTGGGGGACATTGAGAAAGCCGATGAGGCAGAAGCTGAACAATGAAAGCAAAGGAGCAGAGGGGAAAAGCTTAGTCACAGGAGGCGAGGCATTGGAGGTCATAAATTCTTTAACGCAGGGAGACTGCAAAAATAATGTCAGTACTACCTTCTTTGTTGTTTGTAGTTTAAGTAAATTGTATGTAGTTTTCATTCCTTTAGTTAGTGTTAATTAATCCCTTTGTGGTCTTTATTAAGTTCTCCGTTAAAGAAAACTGACATCTGGCCCTTCCTTTTCCCCAAGGATTGCTACAGAACAGATAGATTTATGACTGTTATGATATTTATTTTCAAAACTTTGGATGTTCCAGAAACACAACTTATATTTTTCTCAATACCTCTGTTTAGTTTCATTTTTAGAACCCTGATATTGCCTGATTGCAGAAAGAAAAAATAAAATATCTTAGTCAACTTAAGATAAACTCAGGCATCTGTTTTAAGCTCATTTAATTCAGGATTTCCCTCTCTTACTTATTCTTTCCTTTGTCCAGTATTTTCTAGGAGCTTTGGACCATGGGAGTTGGGAAGGTGATCTGGCTCAGGGCCATTTTTCTTCCAAGTGAGTATCCATAAGATGATGCAATCCTTTCTGGTCCTTGGACATGACCATACTTCTCATGGAATCTTATGGGGCATCTGTTTTGAATTGAAGTGTCTTCCTCAAAAATATGTATTAAAGTTTATCCATTATATATTGAAGACAGATATGAAGGTACCCCTCCCCCATATCTCAGAATGTGACTTTATTTGGAAATAGGGTCTTTGCAGATGTAATTAGTTAAGATGAGGTCATACTGGAGCATGGAGGGCCTGTAGACAATAAGAATAGGATCTTCTTATAAGAAGATAATATATGAACATACGAGATGAGAAGACCATGCTCTGAGAAAGGCAGAGGTTAGAGTTAATGCGTCTGTAAGCCCAGAAGTGCCAAAGATTGCTGGTGACATCAGAAGACAAGAAAAAAGCAGGAACAGATTATCTCCCAGAGCCTTTGAAAGAACCTGGCCCTGCTGACATCTGGATTTTGGACTTTTAGCCTCCAGCACAGTGAAATAATAAATTTCTATTGTATTAAGCCATGAAGACTGTAGTACCTTGTTATAGCAGCCCTAGGAAACTAATACAGCATCCAAACTCAAGCTACTTCTAGAGTGTCCTCTTAGCCTACGGTTCCAGTTGCATTTACAGCAACATTCACTGCATTCTGGATCACTTGGGAAAATGGCCATTTCCAGTGTCCTGTCAAACTGCCCATCTGCTAGAGCACTTAAAAACTCTGCTTTACTCAGGGGCCAGGGTAGCTTGGATACTGCCTGTAGTGCTTGCCAGCTTCTAGGACAACAAGACAGAGACCAGGCTTCGGTACTCTCTGTTCTTCGATCCTGAAACCCTTCTGGGGGTCCTGTACTCTTATGTCTTAGAGCTCTCTTACGGGTGTGGGCACAGGGCGGTCTCTACATGAGTCCCATAGCAGTATGTTCTCCTGCTGCTCTTTTTGCTAAACCTTCCCCTTCTTCACTTATCACACCTCTTATATCCATATCCTCTCAAACTTGGGATTTTTGTGGGATTTTTATCTAGTCTGGGTAAACACAAACAACTGCTTCCACAGCCTGGTCTATAAGTACTTATCCCTGAATTTTTTATTTGGCATCTGGCAAGTATGAAAGTCTAGAATTTGCTATCTTTATTCTTGAATTCTTTCATGACAAGAATGGGAGAGAGTCACTGTGGAAAGGAATAGTCCAGGAAAAACTCATTTACTAATATTTTACAATAGAATTCTGACTAAAGTAGCCAGGGTGAATGTACAAGTCTTAGCTGAAAATTGAGGTCAAATTCTAAATCTCAGAACAGATGCAGGTACCCAAGCCTCATCTCCTATAGAATGTGACTGTTTAAGGAGTATACCTATCCACAAAGGGTCATATTTAGTGAGGGTGAAAGGTGGCAGTATATGCCAGTCATTGTGACTACCACTTGGTACCTAAATATCAGTCTGTCAGTCTGCACATTCATATTGGCTAATGTTTTCATAAATTTGTCTTCTTCTCAGAAAATGTGAGTTTCTTCCTAGCATTTTTGAGGGCTTCTGTACATTTGTTAAGTTATTCTGGGATCTTTCTGCAGTGACGTGGCTCTTTTTTGTTGTTGTTTTTGTTTTTTAACTTGCCTATTCCTAATTATATTTTACCTTTGTATGATTGGGGAATCATTTAGGACCTCATAAAAATAATCAAGTAATTTTAATAGAATGATACATTCTGAATAGAGCCGATCTTGACATAAAACTAAGTATTCTAATAATACGGCCGGGCATGGTGGCTCATACCTGTAATCCCAGCACTTTGGGAGGCTGAGTCGGGAGAATTGCTTAAGCTCAGGAATTTGAGACCAGTCTGGATAATGTAGCAAGACCCTCTCCGTATAATTTTTTTTAAATCCACTAAGTATTTTAATAATAAAGGAATTATTACATACCTGCTATGTCCTTAACACAAAAGTGTGTGGTATGGAGAGGGGTATGAGAGATTTGTAAGGCATAATATAAATCCACATGGAGCTTTGCATCTTCTAGGGTAGCAGGACACATACATCCATGACACACAAAACCACAAATACAAGTTACAGAATACAGATTATTATATAATAAAACAGTAGATAACATACTGCCTACTAGGCAGCACTCAGGCATGAGGTAACAACTCAAGCAGGATGAAATAAATCTGGCCTGGAATTACCTCCAGCTGAAGATGACTTGACTCTTGGATCTGGAAAGAAATCCCATTTTGAGGACACACGCACAACAGGAAGCCCTTTTTATTCTAGATACACTCCTGGATGCAAATTCCCCAGGTTTATTTATGTTCACTTAGGCCTCAATCTCACTCAGCTTAATACATTAATTGAAGTGAGTTTGCTAAGGACAGACACATAGGTCTTATTACATACAGGCTAAATGGTTGAAGGAGATGTCTCTATTTTCTGCCACCCTAGTGCTGTCTCTTTGTGCAGCCCCATTACTCAAACAAAAGAAAATCTTCCCAGAACACTAGGAAGCCCCACCTTTGGTATCAGTCTTGTATGGAAGGGTAGAAACATGTGGGCAGCTTGAGACCTGAGGTCACCATCCAAACTCATCAAAGAAAATAGCACTAGTGCACATCAGTTATGTTTCAAAATGGTTTCTGCCAGTCCTTCTAATCTATTTTTTTATTGCATTCTTAATTTTATTCATTGCTATATCACATAATTCCCATATTTTATGTTGCCTTTGTGACTGTTTTCTCTTGTGTGAAAGTACCTCTTAGTCATTCGCCTGTTGTAGTTCTTTGGATGCTTCCTTCATTTTTTTATTTCTATTTATTTATCTATTTATTTATTTTTGCTAATGGATTATCAGCACTTTGTGATTTTTTTTTTTGCTTTTCTTGATTTTTCCGTCACAATGAATTTCCTTGAGTGAGATTACTGAGTTAAAATGAAAGAAGTTCTGCTGTTTTCCAGAATAGCTGTAACAATTTACAATGCTGTTTGCCATGTATGAATGTGTTAGTGTGGCAGATTCCATATTCTAAAGATGGCCATAAGAATGTCTGCATTCCACATGAATTCTTTGCTTATGTGACCTTGACATTCCTCTCATCAAACAGTGAGGCTCTCCCCGCAACACTTGACTCTGGGTGGGCTTGTGACTTGCTTGTAACCAATAGAATGCAACAAAAGTGATGCGGCACGACTGATGAGGCTGAATAAGGAAAAGCAGTGCAGCCTCCACCTTGTTTTCCAGAACATTCACGTTTGGTGCCATGAACTGTTGTATACGAAATTTGGGTTCCCTAAGACCACCATACCAGAATGCACATGCCGAATCACATGGAAAGGCCACAAATAATAAGCACCCTAAATGGTAGTTCTAGATTTCCAGTCTCCCAACTCAGGTGCCAGGGATTGGAAGTCATACTGACCTCCAAGCATGAAAATTTACTTGGCAATTATGTATATGGAATTGCTACTCAGGAAGAGGCTAAAGTGGAGGTCTGGGTTTAAAGGTCATTAAGCAATGATGAAAATTGAAACTATGGGAGTGATTGTGATTGCCTAAGAAGAGTGCATTAGTTAACTATTGCCACATCACAAGCCATCCCAAAACTTAGTGGTTTAAAACAACACTAATAAATATTTGTTCATAATTCTGAAACCTGGGTTGAGCTCAGTGGGGTGACTTGTCCCTGTTCCACATAGTATTGGCTGAGCTCATTCATGCATTTGCAGTCAGTTGATGGCACAACTGGAACTGGAGGATGCAATGTGGCCTTATTCACATGTCTGTCACCTGAGATAGGATTGTTGGAATGGATGGGAGCTGGTCAGATGTTTCTCTTCCTCATGGTCTCTCATCTTCCAAGGTCTCTCTCTATACATAGGCCTTTATCTTCAAGAAGGATACCCCAAACTTTCTTACATGGCATCTCTGGGCGGCAAAAAGATTAAAGGAAATGTCTTAAAGCACAGCTCAGAAATTGCACAGTGTCATTTCCCTTCATTCTATTGGTTCAAGCAAAAAGCCAGCCCAATGTGGGAGGGGAATTGAATGTGAATTCAGTGATTCACTAAGGCTGTTATGTAACAATCAGTCACAAAGGATGTGGAAATGAGAATAATCTAATGCTCTGAATAGCACAACATCTAAAGAATGAGTGTAAAAAAAGAAGCCCATTGTGTGACTGAAGGGTGGCCAGAGATATAGGAGGAAAAGCAAGTAAGAATGGTATCACAGCGATTAAAGATTCCACTTCTAGAAAAACAGAGCGAAAAGTAAGAACACAATAATGAAACATATCTTCAGATTTAATAACAAGCAGTTATTGGTGACTTCGACAGGAAGAGATTCAGTGGAGCAGAAGGAGCTGAAGCCAGATTGCAGAAGGTTGAAGGAAGGAAGCACAGGGAGAGAGAAGGTTGCCTGTAAAAGGGCAGAGAGAACTGGGGAAATAGCCAGAATTTGACATGTTTCTATTTTAGTTTCTAAGATTTTATATACAGGAGGAATTTGGACCAGTCAAAATGCTGAGAGGAAGGTGGAGACAAAAAGGAAAAGGTTGAAGGCATTTGAGAAACAAATATTAAGGAACTGAGTTCTAGTTTCTTGGTTTAGCAGAAATTAAAGTCAGTTTAACTGTACAGAACAAGATTTTGTTACTTTAAGCTATTATTTTTCATTCATTTTAGTTTTCTAAAAAGACAATTTACATGGAATCAAAAGGAGTAAAATCCATTAAAATGCATAAATATGTAATTTCACCTTGCTTTTTGAAGTACCCAATTAAGAATGATTTAATCTAAAATGAATCCATTTAGAAGTAAAAATGTTTAAATTAAGAGGAAATATTTTGGAAGTATATTGTCTTATGAAAGTAAATAGTATATTTAAAATATGCATCCTTGCATTTGACATATTTATTCATTTTCTTCAAGATGTAAATGCTTTAACAAAGGTTGCAAATGTAGATAAATAAATTAACTTTACATCAAAGAGTAAACATCTCACACATGGCAACAAGAGAGCAGTTGTATTTAAGATGTCTGATATCACTTTATGTCTATATTAATAATAAAATATTTCAATGTACTATTTTTCCTCATGGAAAACCCTGCTGTCCTTATTCATATACAAATCAAGCTGAAGGGGGATCTGGATGCGTGTCTCCCAGAAGCTTTTTCTGGAACTGATTTGATGAGATGATTTATACTTTCTAACCACCCTTTTAAACAGATATGTTCTGCACTATTTTTACCTTTGGAGTCCTGGGTGTTTTTCTGGGTTTGATAGAGTAGATCAGACACACGTGTTTGCTCCAGAGAGTTTAAACATACATTATTGATTCTATCATTTGAAGGTAAAAATGTTTTCAGAAGAAACTTGGAAAACAAGTCTAAATCAATTGAATTTAAAGACCAATAGAAATCCCTAGATATGGTTTCCACAGCAACAATTTGAATGTTTAATATTTCTTTGCACTCAAAGGGTAATTAATTGCTTCATTAATTCAATGCAAGAATTTTGCAACCTAC